AATCCAATAACACGAGCAATAGTCCAGGCAGGAGCAAACAGAGTCCGAACGGCGAGACAAAAGGGCAATCCGAGAAACACAGGCAGGAATCAGAACACGAGAAAACAGGCAAGGCAAGACTAAGACTAAACAATGAAAACTAGAAATGGCTCCGTAGAGTAGCTATCGCTAGCTGAGTGATATGCGCTAAACAATACTCGGCAATCTGAATGAGGAAGTCCAGGGCTTATAAAGCATGTCTGATTGGATTCAGCTGTGTGTGTGTAATCAGTGCAATGGATGATGGGAACTGTAGTCCGGAGTGACATGTAACGGTCTGTGTGGTGTGAGAGTCAATGTAGTGAGCGCGTGACCTCTGGTGGTGAGTGAACGGAAGTTCATAGACGGGATTCGTGACATGATGTGATTTGTACTTAAAAAAGAAAAAATCTGTTACTACTTCCATTAAACATAAAAATGTCACTAAATGCGTCTAATTATAAATGATCTCATGAGAAAACATTACTATTTAATGAGGTTGCGATTTTATATGAATTCGTATGACATGATTGATATGAAAATGTAAAATTTTTACAAAACAAAAAAAAGCATGCATAAAGGTCCACTCCTAATCCTAACTGTCAGAGTGACGTAAGCATATAGGTATGAATGAAACTGCATACATTCATGCACATTAGCCACCAATTTGTTGAAATATCTTAAATATTTTTTTTTCACTCAAATTTACACAAATATGTTGGAGCTGTGACAGTGCCAGTGGATAGTGCACATGCTTGTTTGATACATTGAGATATGAGCTCAAACCTGGATCTTCTAAATGTATTTCTTCCCTTCTCTGCAACATTCCCTGTCCTTTCTCCATCACTGAATTAATAAAAGTGGCATAAAGGCCAAAAAAACAAACAAACATATAAATAAGTCTTGTTAAATATTTTGTACAAATGTTCCCCGCTAATGTACTTTTCTATATGATTGATCAAGTAAACTTGTAAGGTATCAACATTAGCTAATTCATGAGAAATTTGCTACATTTACAAATCCCTCATATTTTTTTCTTCGGAGACAGTATTAAACCAGAGCTATAAAGGAAATTTTATGTGATTACATCAGCGTTCATCCATTAAATTGAGAATTACAGCTATAAGGCAAGATTAGTGAGGGCTTAAGAATTTAAATCTTAGCGAAAGACTGTAATAAAGATGGAAATTATATTGACCGTCTTACTGTATGGAACACAGGGGTCAGAGAATAACCTCGGTGTTCCACAAGTTCTGACTCATCCCCCATTCATAATGGGCTTTCCTAAAGCAGGAGTTTCTATACTTTACCTCCATAGTCCTGAAAATATTGATCCATTTAGCTTGATTTATAAATGGTGCGGTGCTGGCCAGGGTGTCTCTGTTAGCCTTAGCGGTTCAGGGCCAGAGGCAGCCATTAATCTTGCATGTGGTGCAATGGAGCTTCACACACTAAACAACTTTACTGTGTGTTTGAATGCATAGCACCAATCACAGCCTCATACTGATGCAATGCATACTTCAGTTACATAGTCAAACTTGTATTACTTTCCAGACATCCATCAAAAATGCACTCAGAAAAAAATCTTTTTCTGATTCTCTTATTTTTGTAACACCAGACTTCATTTTCCTTGCAAACTCTATCACTTTTTCATGCATCGCTAATGGAGAATTTATGCTTTATTAAACTCAAACGAAGTGCACTATAATTTTCCTCAGTGAATACTGATTTTTATTACGTGAATATTTGTGTGAAATTATTATTAAATTGAATGGAAAAGTTGTTTCTTTAGAATTGTGTGTCCTCTTTCAA